AGGACCGCTCCACTGGCAGGCCTGCCGCGGTGATGCAGGGTGACCAGTGACGAGGGGCTAGCTGAGTCCAGCGTCCAGGTCGCACCGCCGCCCCTCGCTGTTGTCCACACCTTGCCCCCCGGCCCCTCTCTGTGTGCCAAGTGTCCCCTGCCCGGCAGCACCAGGCCCCACAGCCCGCAGACTCCTGGAGACGCTACTACCCCATTTCATAGGAGAGGAAAGTAGGCCTCAAAGAAGAGCTACAAAGGGGTAGCGAACGTTCGGGATGCGTGAGCTGGGGTGTCCAGGTGCGGGTCTGAGGTCGGCCACTTGGGTTGAAATGCGTGAAAACCCAGGACGGGGCAGGAGGAAGCCATGGGGCAAAGCGCTAGGCCCTGAATGCAGGGAGCAGCAGAGTCACAGGCGTTCACTGAACGGCATTTCCACTTTCCGTACGTCTGAAACTTTTCGTGACAAAATGTGGGGGGAGAAATGCACACACCCCTCCCCGTCACTGCTCCGAGTAGCCCATGCAGCCAGGTTTCCCGAGCCCTTCGAGATGGTTGACGGTGCACAGTCTGGCGTGTACCTAGCTCTTCTCGTCCCACCGTGGGGCAGGCCCAGCTGCCCGTGGGCTGCTGTCCCCACTGCTGCCGGCGTGGGACCTCCAGCGTGGACACCTGCGGGGCCCCCGGGACAGGCAGCACCCACACCCTGTCACAGGATCGGCCTTCGGGGCCCCAGGTGGTGATAGGCTTTGCCACTCGAGGCCACCGAGGCAGAGGGGAGGTGCACTGGGGGTGTCACTGTAGCCCGAAGCACCTGGCCCTGGTGGCCCCCAGCCCTCCAGGGTCCTGCTCGGCATCAGCCTCCCTCCGCACCCCTACACTCATGGTGGCTGTTCCAAAACCTGCAGGAAGAGACGGGTGAGCCGAGGCCCAGGACACCCGGCGTGGGCATGGAGACACCCAGGGGGCCTGGCAGGGAGCAGCTCTGGCCTGACCCCGCGCTACCCTGGCAGGGAGGGAGCAGAGGGGCTCATGCAGGCCATGTTCTCCTGCTCTTGGGGGTGCTGTGTGCTCCTCAGAGCCGTCCCAGTCCCATCTACAGAATGGGAAACAGGCTCAGAGAGGTGGTGATTTGCTCAAGCCCACATACGTTTGTGCATTCACTCCATCCTTCAGCCTGGTGCCAGGCCCTGGCACCTGCCGTCAATTAGGCAGGGGGGCTGCTGGCCATTCCTGATGCTCCCCGTCTCCACCTCGGGCCCAGGTTCTCATTCTGGGGAAACAAAGAGTGGGTCTTTACCACCTGGATTTGGGGTTGAGGGGAAACCCGTGTCTGGAGTGCCCTCTGCTGGGTGGTCTGTTTCTCATGGGGCCCTGGAGGCTTTAGGAAGGAGCTAGAATATTGGGGTGGGGGGGCAGAAAGGCACTCCCCCACCCTCAGGTGTCCAGGTGAGACAAAGCAGGGTGAAAGTTGGCTTTAGACCAGAGGTCTCGAACTGACTGCCCCTGGGGCAGCTTGCTTAGAGATTGGTGCTGGGTTCAGGGCTCACCATGGAGCCCAGTATTTAAAAACAGAGGTATCAGATGCGTTAACTTCAGATCTTTTAAAATCAGAAGATCTGCCCACTCTGCACGCTTTCCTGTGCATAGGAAGAAGGAGCTGAGTGTGATGGGCTATGTACCTTCCTGTTAGCCACAGACCACACTGGTCCCTTTCACCCTGTGCCCACCTGCCTCATTTCGTCACGTGGCCCCGTGGGCATTTGCGCTGTCTTCTTGACCGTCCAGAGGGCCTGGTACCTTCAGCCAGCCGGTGGCATCAGAAGCCTGTACACCTAACCCTGCAAGGGCCACCGCCTCCTGGCCAAGACAGCTGAGCTTCCCCAGACAGGCCTGGCCCAGTGGACCACCCCCGTGCGTGTGTGCATGCACACGCACACACAACTGGGGGGAATCCGGCCCTCTGAGGGGTTGGCTGTGCTTGCCCGGAGCGGGGGGCTGTCCTGGTGGGCCTCTTCTGACTCCTCTGGCTGGAGCACCCCACCCTGCTGAGGTCTTAGGGTCTCTGAAGGGTATCGAGGAATGTGTGGCCTCCTTCCAAGGAGCCTCCGTTATGGCACAGAGGAGGGACGGACGCGAAGAGCAGATTTAAGCCTCCTCTAGAATTTGCTTCAATCACTACTGTGGTAGGGAGTGAACTGCTTGTCCCTAGAATGGTTTAAGCGGGGTCTGTTTCCGTTTACTCATTTATTTAACAGATATTTATTGGTGCGTAGGATGTGCCAGGCCTTGTCGCAGATGTGAGGACTTCCGTGGTGACCTCCCCGGGCGGCCGGCCGTGTCCTGGAGCTGACCGTCGGTGGGGACGGACAGCTGGTGCACCTGTGGTGGATGCTAAATCCATGAACCACAGGTGCTAGTTGGGATGAGCAGTGGGAAGGAGCAAGCCAGGCTGAGTGCTGGGGAAGAACGGCAGGGAGGTGCTGGTGCCAAGGCACTGGGGCAGAGATGGCTCCGCGCGCTCCAGGATGGGAACGGAGGTGAACAAGCAACGGGATGGATGAAGCCAAAGGTGCAAGGCCTTTGGGCCGTGGCGGGGAGGAGATTGGGCTCGTTCTCATCTCTCGAGTTTAGGGACCAGCTTATTACAGTCGGAGCCCTTATGATTCTGTGGCCCCTGTTGGGGGGTGACATCTCTAGCTTGTTCAAAGCTCGGAGTGATTCTCTTCAAGTCAGCCATTCAGTAGTTCACTTACTCATCAGCAAACATCTCCAGAGCCAGCTGTGCTCTGGGCCAGCCGGGGCTGGGGGCTGGGGGCTGGGGGAAGGCCTGGCCCCCCACCTCCAGAAGAGGCAGTGTGATGGGGGTGGGGAGGAGAGGCCAGCAGAGGGTGTAAAGCACAGCTGGAGGTCAGGGAGGGCTTCATGGAGGAGGCGTCAGCTGAGGGACCAGCCACGGGGCTGCAGTGCTGTGCTGGGACACAGTTCCAGGCCCGCCAGACAGGCACCCACACTGAGTGCTGAGGGCAGGGGCAGTAGCGGCAGGGGTCATCACGAGGTGTACCACCTCTGTGTCAGGACCCTCTGAGCTCATAGCTCCCTGTGCCCCCTCTCACAGAAGGGGAGACTGAGGCCCAGGAATGAATGCATGGGTCCAGTGCGTCTGTGGTCTGAATTGCCCCTTGGCAGCTTGTAACCGGGAACAGGCAAAGGGCTGATTCGAAGCTGACTCAGCTCGGGGCCAGCAATCGAGGGATGGGTATGCGTGGGATCCGTCAGGCCTGGAATTTTGGGCTCCATCCCTCATTTACTGAGCCTCTCCAGTTACTTAACCTCTCTGAGCCTGTTTCACATCTGCAGGATGAGTGTTGCTCTCCCTACCTGGCTTGAGTTCTTGGGAGATGTGCGGGCCTGGCCCTTGTGTAGAGCCCAGCAAAACTCAGAGGCAGTGTGTCCGGCTCTGAGCCACAGGCCATCCCCAGGCTTAGTGCCCCCATCCCCGCCCCCGGGAAAAGAAAGGCTGGCCTCGAATTTTGCTTTTTTGCCCTCCCACCTTGCATGGCTATTGGGGAGACAGCACTTCATGACAGGGGCCTTTGGTCTGTAGGGAAACTGAGGCCCACAGAGGGTGAGCCGCCCACTCAGGTCACAGAGCATCAGGGCCTGGCACCAGTCCCCAAGAACAGAAGCAGCCTGGCCAGATCACAGACGCGGGTCGGGACGCCCCTGCCCCACACGGCGTGGGCAACCCCCTTCCCAATACCCCAGGCCTTCCCAGGGTACGGGCCAGCCTGCCGGCCCCCAACCTCCCCCAGCCTCCTCGACGTCTCATCTGTCATGGACACAAAAGGCCAGGCCTCCCACAGGCGGGGGCAGGGCGGGAAGGGGCTCCTGGGCCAGCTGGGCTGTGGACACCGGCAGGGAAGTGCGTGGAGACAGGAAGGAAGTGCACTGCTGGAGTCTGGGGCCACCATTGTCTCACCTGGGGGTGGGGGTGCTGAGATGGCCCCACCCTGCGGCTGACTCCTGCACCCTAGCCTCAGTTTCCCTGTCTGGAAAACCTCAGGCAGACGCGTGTGTGTCTGGAATTGCAGAGCAGGTGACACGTGCAGCCGGCCATCCAGTGCTTTGCCCGGATCCACTCACGGGCTGAGGGCTCCACTTGTCCCCAGAGGCTCCGGAACCAGCCCAAGGTCATACCTCAGGGCAGCAGGGCTGGAACCCAGACCTGGGCTGCAGGCCCCAGAGTCCAGGGCCTTACCTGCTCAGCCCTCCTGTCTGCTACACCCACCTGCCTCTCCCTTAAGGGATCCCTTGTTCAGGCTAAATCCTGGGGAGCCTCATCCTGAGCAGCAACATCCCCACTTTCATCAAGATTGATGGATAAACATACGATAGGTGGATAGAAGGGTAGACAGACGACTGACTGGTAGATACAGCAGCTGGGGTGGAAGCCAGCACTGGGAAGCTGCTAGCTGCACTCCCCGTCCCCAGACGAGATTTTCAGGGCTCCCTCCCTTCCTTTGTGCCCACCCTGCCCCCACTCCTCTCTCTCTCTCTCTCTCTCTCTCTCTCTCTCTCACACACACATACACACACACACACACACACACACACAGCAGGGCTGGGAGCACGTCTCACTTCCAGGTGGGACCAGGAGAAACAGGAAAGACTCCTTCCTTCCACCCAGCAGGAAGCAGGGCCAGGAGGCTTCGGGACCTCCCAGCAGACTGGGACTGGGCAGGATGCTTCCCCAAGGGCTGAGCCAGAGGGGGTGTGCCCAGGGGTCTTGCAAGGGCAGCTGGCCAGGAGCCCCCCATCATCCGATGTCATCTGACACTACTCCCCTTCCAGGGAACGAGGGGAAGGGGGGAGGGGTCAGACCATCCCCAGGGCACACAGGTCCCAGGGGACACCCCACCCCATCTCTGGTGGGGGAGTCTAGGGCTGCATCCGTCACCCCGACCTCACCCCCTCCGGTCCCCCCATGGCAGCCGAGCCCCTGCAGCCTGCTCAAACTTTATTGAAGGTAGAGCTAGAATAGGAGGGGCCAGAACCACAGACCACTCCCCTCAGCTCCCTCTGCGTGGGCTCCACTGGACAAGGGATGGTTGATGGCCGAGGCTCCCTCCGGGGACTTCGGGCACAGCTCAGTGGCCCCCATCCCTGCAAGCATCCAAGACACCCGCCTCAGCCCCAGCCCCAGCCCCAGCCCAGACCCCAGCCCGGCCTTGGGGGTGGGATGTGGACAGTGGGCCCTGTTCCCTTGGGCTTGCAGAGGACCAAGCAGGGCCCCCCGCCCCCGGGGCTGCTGGGGCCTGATGGGTCCCCCGCATGCGGCAGGGGGCAGAGCTGGAGAGCGGTGGGGCGGGGTGGGGGCAGGTACGTTACCACCAGCTCAGGTCCCTCCTGGCCAGCTCCACCTGGGCCAGGCGGTGGTCACTCAGCACCTGCACCCGGGTGATGGCCGCCAGTGGCCTGTGGCGGTGTGCATACTGCAGCACCTTGTGCTCCTGGGCGTGGACATGGAAGTGCTCCTCATCTGAGCTGACCTCCATCTGGGGACGGGAGGCCGGTGACCCACGGCCTGCCACAGAGCCCGGGTCCCCTCACCGCGCAGAATGCCCCGTCGTGCAGGCCCGCCCCAGTTGGGAGCCCCGAGCCCCAGCCGGACGGACGTCCGCTTCCTCACTGAGGGGTGCACCCACCCGCACCCAGCAGTGAGACTCCCCGCGGCCTTTACCTGTAAACCTCCACAGTATGTAGGGACAACAGCGTCCTTCCCATAAAGCAGCGGTAGCTAACCTCACAGCCCGATAGCCTCACAGGTACCCCAGTCCTGGCCTCCCCCTCCCCCCACGGGCCTCCGCTCCCCCCTTCACCTCAAAGGGCTCCCCCAGCACCAGCCGGAAGACGCTGGACACTTCCTCCTGGCCCCAGCGGCCCCCCTGGAAGGTGTTGCCCACCACGGTGGCGCTGGAGAACCGGGGCTTGACGTGGAAGGCAATGTCCCCCGCCTCAGACAGGAAGTTGATCTCAAACCTGGGGGGTGTCATGGGGGCTGTGAGACAGCAGATGCCTGGGGAGTCACCCCGCCCAAGGCTGAGAGGGGGCCCCTGGGGTGGGCAGTGACCCTTACTTGTCCTCTCCAGAGTCAGAGTGTCCCTGGACCAGCAGGCTCCAGCCAGGGGCCAGGCCCCCTGCACAGAAGGCTTCGAACTGCATGCAAAAGAGGGGCAGAGTGTACCCCATTTGTCCAGGGGGCCCCAGCCAATCTCACGCCCAGCTCGGGCTCTTCCCCCAGGACCCTGGCCCTCTGAGCAGCGTTCCCTTCATGGCGGGGCAGTAGGAGTCCCCCACCCCATGCCCTCTCGGCCTGCAGGCCTGGGGAAGGAGCACCGGGGATGCGGGGAGCCCCTGCCTGGGCCTGCTTCCTTCTCACCCACCTGCAGCGCCATCTCGCCAGCTTCTGTGGGCGCGGAGCATGAGCCAGGGCATATAGGCAGGCGGGCAGGCCGGGCCGGGTGCGGAGCCCCACCCCGGGGACAGCCAGCAGGCTGCTCCGCCCCCCCCTGCCCCCCCCCCCGCCCCCCCCCCCCCCCCCCCGACTATCAGCAGGTATGCCATTCAAGCACCAGAGACAGGGTGGCTGGCCCTGGGCCCCTCCCCACCCCCACTGCACTTTCTAGGGTCCTAGGAAAGCACTTCTGCCTCCCACCCCCAACAGCTTCCTCCGGGCATCCAGGGACCCAAGCCTTCATCACTGCTCAAGTGGGGGAGGGGGGACGGCAGGCCTACCAACACTGCCTGGGCCTTCTGGGGGCCAAGCCTGTGTCCCCCCCCCACCCAGCCCAGCCCAGCTTCCCCGGCTGCCCTGCTCCAGCCAGCTCAGCTGGCCCCATGGGGCACTGTGCTGGGATTAGGCTGGGGCTGTGGTCAGCGCATTCCTGGGCTCTGGCTGATGGAGTGGGGGAGGGCCTTTCCCACACCCCAACGCCCCTCCTGGCCTGGTGCCTCAGCCCCTCTCAGCTGAGCTGGGGAGGAGGCCAGGCTGGGGTCCCCACCGAGTGTCTAGGGGAGAAGGACAGGGTCTCCCCAGGCTTTCGGGGCAGCTATGGGGCCGCCTGGCTGGACTATCCAGGGAGCTGGCCCAAAAGGGAGCCAGGCTGGGCCCGTGGAGCGCTGGGGCTGCTGCATGCGGTGAGTGTGCGGGGAGTGTGGGCATGTGGTGAGCGCCGGATCCTGTGGCTGCACGAGTAAGTGTCTGTGCACACGTGTGTGAGTGGTGTCGTGTGCGAGTGCACGTGTGTGTGCCTCCGGCCCCCCTGCTGTTTCCCTGCCCAGTGCATCTCAGGCCCAGGCCCCGGGGGTAACCCAGCTGCCTGCAACCCCATCGTTCCCCTAGGCCTCCCCCGTGTGCGGGGCCGTCTTGGGGAGGGGGGGCATGCTAAGGCCGGGAAGGGACACGGAGATGGCTGGACAGCCCACTGGCGGTGCAGGGCACTGCACGGCACTGCGGTCCTCCCGGTTGGCACGGGCAGGGCTGGCGGGGCCTGCAGGGGGCAGCGCTGAGCAGCGGAGGTGCTGCCCAAGGAGCCTTCCTCGGTGGTATCCTGGCTCCCACACCTGGCCTACCTTGCAGAGCCCTGTCCCAACCCAGCCTGGCCGTCCTGGGGTTGACAGGCTGCAGACCCCTCGTACCTGCCTCCCACAAGGACCACAGAGAAGGGAGGCCCTGCCACTGTTGGCCAGCAGGAGGTGAAGCCTGGCCATGCGTCCCCACCTCCCTGTCCTGTCTCCTACCCTTGGGGTACTGGGACTAGGCAGTCAGGGGTCCAGAGAAGGCTTGAGCTAGTAGCCTCTGAGCCTCAGACTTCCCAGCTGTGCACTGGGCTCAGCAGTCCCGCTGGGCAGTGCGGACCTCTACCCCCTGGGCCTGTCCCCTCGGCGGGGGAGGGTGGCCCAGGCACAGGCAGCTGGGCCACTGGCACCGTACTTTGGGCTCAGCAGGGGCACTGGTGGAGGGAACTTGGGAGTCAGCTGCCTAGAGCCCTCGCCGGGCATCAGGGCCCTACGAGTGGGGCTTGTCCCCCAGACTCCCTGGACAGAAGGCCCAAGTGCTCTGCCTAGACAAGGGTGCTGGTCTGGGGTGAGGAGGCCCGAGGGACCCCTGATTCGGGTAGGCCCGCCCCTGCCAGAGTTTCAGTCTCCCTACCTGGGCAGGTAGCCGAGGGGGCCTCGAGGGGGCGGGGGTTGTGAGCCTGGTCCGTCCGCGGCCAGCCTGGAGTCCTCCAGGAGTCCCACCTGCATGAAGCAGGCTCTGGGCCTCCACGCACACCGCGGCACTTGCACCTGGCCTGAGCGGACACCTGGCCAGGCTGTGGTCTTGCATGGCCCAGGCTTTGGAACCTCTCCCACGAGGGGCGGGAGCCAGAAGCAGCCCAAGCTCTCCACGGCAGGGACCCAAAAGGCCCGTATGGGGCCCGGGGAAATGAAGAGAGGGGCAGCGAGGCCCCATGTGGCTGGCCCAGCCCTGCAGGCAACCCCTCCCCCCCCCAATGTCATGGAGTCTAGGTGGGACCTCAGCCAGGCCCCAGGGGTCGGGGCAGCCGTGGGCAATGCCCCCCCATCCCGAGTTGCCCTGGAGCAAACCTGCCCATCCAGGCACCGCCCCGCCCCCCTCCTGGATGTGTGGTTTTGCCCTGGGCTGTTGACTGTCATAGGCTGAGAGGGGGGCAGCGGGGTCTCCACCCAGTTAGGCTGAGGATCTTCACCAGCACTCAGACCCTCATCCAGTGGGATGGGGTGTTATCAGGGTTGGCTTCCTGGAGGAGGTAGTACCTCAAGCAGGTCTTGAAGAATGAGAAGAACTTAGAAGGGTGCTGGAGGGCAAGGTAACAGGCCCAGCCCTGGGGGGAAGGACTCGGGAAGGATCTGACACACCTTCGGGACAGCTTTCGAGGATCCATGACCTCATCTTTTGGGAGGGCACCCACCTTCCACGGGCATCCTGGAGCCAGGCATCCGTGCCCCGGCTGGCTCAGACCGGAGGAGGCCCCCGGAGCCCCTGGGGAGGGTGGCAGTGCGAGAACACGGGTGCCCGTCCAGTGTTCTTCTCAGGCCCCCATCCGCTCTTATCCCGCTACCCCCCCCCCAGCATGAGCACCCAGCCCCGCCCAGCCGTGAGCGATCCCAGGTCGTTGGGGGTCTTGAGCCAGCCCTCCCCCGACCCCCACACCATCCCTGGCCCACCTCTGGAGCCACTCGCTGATGGCAAGGTCAGCACAGAAAGTCTCAGCCCCCACCTGGCAAGGGGCAGCGCTGGAACCGGGACACACGGCCTCAGGCCGGCTCTCCCCCTGGCCGGGCGCTTGGCGGCCTTTGGCACGTAGCGGCTGTGTCTTTTCCTCCCTGCTGGGGCTGTGGCGTGAGTGTGCCTTCTGGGTCAGCAGGGAGACGGAGCCCAGCGTGCAGAGTGAGGGCAGTCAGGAGGCACCGTGCCACCGTGGCCCACATGGGGAAACTGAGGCCCCGGAGCCCCAAGGAGCCCCCTCATAGGGCCTGCTGAAGGCTGGGAGGGGCTGATCCGGGGCTGACCAGGACCCAGGGCTCCAGGGCGAGGATAGCAGGGTCCCCCACTCCCTGGTGCCCCCTCGCCTGTCCCTCTGGAATCCCCGACCAGCTATGCCCAGCCATCACCTGCCCCGAGTCCCACTCCGTCTCTCATAAAGCCCTCCTGGCTCTCTCCCTCCTCTGAATCATTCTCTCACTCAGGGCAGAAGTCACTGTACCCCGGGCCATTCACGGAGGCCCTGCTGTGTGCCAGGAGCTGCCTGGTACTCTCCAGGGTCAGGAGGAAGGAGGCAGGTCTGAGCCCGGCCCCTGGGGGCCCTTCTCTCGCTCGGTGTGGACGGAGGCCCCCCCGGCCCAGGCCAGGGAGACGTGGGGCCGATCGGGGAGCTCAGCTCATCGCGGCCATGGTGGCTGTTACTTCTACGGCATGCTCAGTGCCGTGCCTGGCACGTGTGCCCCTCGCTGGTGGAGGGAAGCAATCCGCTGCTCACTCACTTGCTCGGCACACGTTTGTTGTGCACCTGCGATGTGGCAGGTCCTGAACAGGTTCACAGACAGACAGACAGACACGGTCTGTGCCCTCGCGGAGCTCCCAGTGTCTGAGGGAGGGCGGCAGGCATTAAATGACAAATCCAGCTTCACGTTATCCAGTTATCAGGTTCTGAGGGGAAATCTGGGGAGTGACAGTTGTGTCCAGGGGGGCATGGCCTGATACCGGCAGGTCAGGGAGACCTCTTGGAGGAGGTGACTTGGAGCTGAGCCCAGAAGAGGAGGGGCTCGCCAGGAGGAGGTGGGGGAAGAGTGTGGCCAGCAAAGGAAACGGCATGTGCAAAGGCCCTGGGGAGGGCGGAGCTATGGGAGTGTAAAGGCCTGGGATGGGGCTAGGGAAGGCACGCTGCCCCCCCCACCTTTGCTGCCTGGCTGGGGTCCAGCCCTTCCAGCCTCCCCTGCCAGGCGCCACCTTCCCCTCCCCTAATTTGGCCCGGCATTGTTCCTGGCCAAGCCGCCCACCCAGTGCCTGGCCATTGTCCGGGTGTCCTGCTTCCCGCCCTTGAGTCTCTTATCACGCAGAGAATCTGCTCGCTTGGGGGCATTTGGGGGCTGCTGAGGCTTTACGGGAGCCAGCGCTAGGCCAGGGCTGCCAGTTCTGACCCCACCCCTCTTGCTGGCATGGGCTTGCCAGCAGCGGCCAAGGGACACTCAGCAGAGTGGCCTGGCCTCCCTCCTGCCGGGACCCGCGGGGCTGCCCCTCCCGCTCCACACCTTTCCCTCCATGCCCTACAAGTCAAAGCACACCCACCTGCTTTTGACAGGCCCCTTTCTGGGCCTCAGTGTCTCCATCTGGGGTCGTGGGATCGTGGGCATGGTCCAGATCCTCGGCCAGGGGACAGAAGCAAGGCTGCCCTTGGCCCAAAGTGGGGGACACGAAGGTGGGGCTCTGGGCAGTCCGGGCCACTGGAGAGGCCACGCTGTGCAGGCGAGGCTGGGGTTTCTCCCTCCCCGACGGGCCTGAGCCTCGGGCAACAAGTGGAGGCTGCCGCCCAGACAGAGGCTCTCCTGGAGGGCAGGACCCATGTCTACCAAGAGCCCCCTGCCCAGACCAGGCCTTAGCCCCCGAGTTCTCACGACCCCCTGGGAGGGGAGCACTCTCCCCCCATTCTGTTTCATGTCCCATTTTGTAGATGTGACCACTGAGGCTCAAAGGGGAGGTATATGCGCCCAGGTCCCCGCAGCTGGTCTCCCGGAGGCGGGGGGGTGCTGCTGCTTAACCACAGCCCTGCAGAGGTGGGGCCAGGACTCGGAGGCAGGACAGAGCCTCCCACAGTGAAGCTCTTTGGCTCTGCATGCAGTCCTGCAAGTGTGTGCACGGCTGTTCACGGCCCTGCTG